ATGATGGACTTTCAGTTTAAAACAACCTCCCGGGTGTTGCCTTCTGGAGGGTTACATTGACTGCTGGCCAGGAATGGTTTGCATTTATGAAGCGTAGGTTCTTGGTACGAGCCTGTTTATTCTTAGTTAAGATGGATTACTTCAGGTTATTATGCACACGTGGCACATCGGAGGTGTTAATGCCAATCATCCCTCATATTTGTGGTGTGACAATAGCTAGGTGGTGTCCTGAAGAGGTGTTGTGTTTAGTTCACTGACTCCTACAGAGCAAGGCTCATCTGTTTCCAGAGGTGCAGCTTGCTGGACCCAAACTTAGAGAATCATTTGGTTCAAGAAGATCATAGAGTCCAACCATACCTGTCAACCACTAAGCTATGTCAATAAGCACCACATCTACCTGTCTTTTAAATACCTCCAGGGATGGAGACTCTACCACTTCCCTGGGCAGCCTGTTCCAGTGCCTGCTGATAACCCTTTCAGTGAAGAATTTTTTTCCTAATACCCAATCTAAACCTCCCCTGATGCAACTTGAGGCCATTTCCTCTCATCCTATCACTTCTTACTTGGGAGAAGAGACCAACACCCACCTCACTAGAACCTCCTTTTGTAGAGGGATGTTAGGTCTCCCTTCAGCCTCCTCCAGACTAAAACATCCCCAGTTCCTTCAGCTGTTCTTGTCAGACTTGTATGATAGGTCTCCCTTCAGTCTCCTCCAGACTAAAACAACCCCAGTTCCTTCAGCTGTTCTTGTCAGACTTGTGCTCCAGACCTCTCCACCAGCTTTGTTGCTCTCCTCTGGACATGTTCCAGTAATGCAATGTCTTTCTTGTAGTGAGGGGCCCAAAACTGAACCCAGTATTTGACGTGTGGCCTCACCAGGGCTGAGTATGAGGGGATGATCACTTCCCTACTCCTGCTGGCCGCACTATTCCTGATACAAGCCAGGATGCTTTTGGCCCTCTTGGCCACACTGCTGGCTCATACTCAATTGGCTGTTGACCAGGCAGCTTTCCAGCCACTCATCCCCAAGCCTGTAGCGTTGCATGGGGTTGTTGTGACCCAAGTGCAGGATCAGCTCCCTTGGTACCCTTGGGTGGACACTGTCTGGCCCCATGTCCTTGTGTGTGTCTAACGGGCCAAACAGGTTCCCTAACCATTTCCTCTTGGATCATGGGACCTTTGTTCTGCACCCTGTCCCTGTCTTCTGGCTCAGGGGGCTGGGTACCCGGAGGACAGCTGACCTTACTATTAAAGACTGAGGCAGAGAAGGCATTAAGTACCTCAGCTTGATGTGCAAAGACAGTTTGTGTAGCCATGCTGGTTTCTGCGGCCTGTGCTATGTGGAGAGCAGTGGTACACTGCACGGCGCTCGGATTTTGGAAAACGGGAGTGACCAGCAGTCCACCGGTTGCTCAGCTGGGTCTTGGCTCCTGCAGCGAGAAACTTTCACACCTCGTTTTGGGTCTTTGTTAGAGAATTTACCTTAATCTTCAGCGATGTCTTCGGGAGCCGCTTCCAACGTGTGCCAGCATGACAATTACAGGTAAGTGAAGTTAAATAAAGGGAACTGATGCGAGCAGTGATTTTTGTATGGGCAAAACTGGGGGCAGTCGCTTCATTGGGAGCGTGGCCCTAAACTGTCCCAAAGGGTTGTTCAGGATGACTTGAAAGTCACTGGAAGTGTCCCTTCTGGGCAGGCAGGGGCAGGCATAGTCTGTGGAACAAGGTCTCCGGGAAAGAACAGTGATGGTGCGGATAGCTCTGTGGCGATCCCTTTGCCTGGCGTCAAATGAGCGTATAGGTGAAAGCCTCACACGGAGCTGCTGGAGACCTGTAAGCCAGCTGGGGCTTGGGGAGGCTGCGGGAGCGGCTGGCGCAGAACCCGGCTGTGTTGTTTTCCTGCTTTCCCGCCGTTTCCGCAGGGCCTTGACGCCGGTTTCATTTCTTGAGCAGTAACGGCGTCCACAGCTGCACTGATCATCTTTGCTGCATCTGAAGAAAAAGAAACATGTATTGAGAATTGGCAGTTCTGAACCCAGAAAGAAAGATCGTGACACAGCTACAATTGGTGATGCAGGGTGATTTAAAGCAAAAGGAAGGAACCTGGAAGTCCTGCCAAAATATTTAAGCCATTTTGTTATTGATGAATCAGAGCCTGGAACGCCACCCTTCTTACAGTAGTCTTGCGAGCACCGGTATGGCTGTATCCAGTATCAACTGCTTTGCACTGAAGGCACACCTGAGGATACAAATTGGGTTTTTTTCCCCATTAACAGTCATCCTTTGGCTATAGCTATAGGATATGGTAAAGTGCTCCTGTAGCAGCTGCTTCTTTGTCCCAAGGGATGGGAGAAAGCTGGTCTGGAAGCATCTGAGGGGTGACTGGTGGAGAATCTCATTCAGCACTGCATTCTCCAGCCATCTTCACAGGTGCCCAGCGGGACTTCGGTAGTATGGACCTGTTGAAGTTGGAGAAGAATCTACCTCACATCTATACCAATACCATATATATTTTAATCAAGCTTGAATGTATGTAGTTCTCTAGCAAAAGACCCATGTTTCCTTCCTTCAGCTGCAGTACTTGACAGAAACGACACCCTTCAGTGAGTATCTCAACAACTTACAGCGAGGCTGGAATTTGTTGCCTTAGAGAACATCTGATGTTCTTGTGTAGTTTTAGGGGGTGTGTATGCAACTGTTCTTTGCATGTGCTCGGTGCAAGTCATGGCTTTTGCAGGATGCCTGCCCCAATTTGAGCACGGGACCCTGAACACCTCTGAGCCCAGATAATATAGGTAGTACATAGCTGTATGAAACATTCTGCTGATACAAGAAGTCGTAATCTGTAATGTTTTCAGTTACCTATGAGCTTTTGGCTGTGATTTGTATTTAATGCATTGGGTATGGTAACTGAGTTAAAAGGGCAACCTGATGCTGCCCCTAGAAAGCAGCAATTTATTGGTAATTGTATGTAAGCGTATGTGGTCTGGATTGGAAAGTTTAAGAAATACAGGAGCAAAGCTGTACTTGCCATTTGATTTCTTTATTCTGTCATGGATCCTAAAGACCAGGACCAGTAGAAGTCCCTCTCCAAGCTGGAACAGCAAGTAAAGCAGTGGGAAGAAGTACAGGGGGCCGATGATTTCTGGGGCAAAGACGACCTTGAGGATAGTTGAGCAAAGCTGTACATTCTGGCAGCCAGTCTCCATGCACACTGTCCGCCGGCATCTGAAGGAGGAAGTGTTAAACGGGTCATGGATTTAATCCACTTTCAAACAACTCTAAAAAAGAACCCTGCCCGCCTCACTGTTGCAATGCTTTATGCGTTTGCCTGTGCTAAAAGCTGCTTTATCAGGAGCAATGCTGGGATCCCTAGGAGGTTTTGCCTTGTGGTCCCTTTGCTACGTGCAGACAGATCATGTTATAAATGTGGACTTTGTACTTAATGGTATTTGTGTGGCCTTGTGTCCCACTCTGGAAGTTGCAGCTTCCCACAGGGAAGGAATCTGCTTCTGAGGTGAAAAGGAGGAATCTGCTTCTGAAGTGAAAAGAAGGAATCCACTTCTGAGGTGAAAAGAGGAGTCTGAGGTGTGAAGGTAAAAAATAGGACTAGCGGGCTTCCTACCTGATTTAGGTAGGATGAGAAAAGGAAGGAGTGGGTTTTACATGCAAGGCTTCCATCCTGAATTCCCGGGGCTGCAGCGGAATGCGCTAACTGGTTTGGGGTAATTATCAGCTGAGGAACAGTTGTGTCACTTGGGGTTTGGTCTCTGCTGGTGTTCCCTAATTCTTTGTTGTTCTTTGGTGCTGTTCGTTCTCTTCCCCCAGCTTCGTTACTGAGAGCAGAGGCTGGTAATGTATGCTTAGCAGGTCACTAGTGACAAACCAAACCCATCCGTCTGCTTGTTCAGTGAGCCTGCATAATGGACTTCCACCCCTTTGTTGAGGGTTGGTAGTTGAGGTTGAACTCCTTTCTCTCCCCACTCAAGGTGTGGGAGTATTGACTTGGGAGCAGCTTGCAGCGTCCCTGCTCATACTCCTAGGGCCCATTTTGGGAGACTGCAGTCAGTGTTTATTTTACAGAAGTACATCCACATTGAAACCTGTGTTTTCACCATTGCTCCGTAGACCGGAGCTGTTGTACCTCTCTGTTCCTTCTGGCGGCAGAGAGCGAGGGGTGGGGGGAGTGGAGGAACATACCGCTCATTAAGCTTGATGGTGAGAAGACGACTGTTATACTGCTTCCCACATTTGCCACGGACAGAACGATTATTGCAGCAGATGACAGCAGAAGCATGACCATCCCTGCCTAAAATAAAAGTGGTCAAGACACGGACAAGATAAAAATTCCCAGCAAAATTTGTTCGAAGCGGCTGCCCAGTTCCCTGTCCATCATGTATGTAAGTATATAGTGAAAGTGCGTAAGTGCCTTTCTGGACATAACTATTACAAGTAGACCTTAAATAACTTGTGGCCTATAGGCAAGATGACCTGTGCTTGCTCCACAAGCCACTTCTTTCTCAGCCATTGCTATGTGCCTCTCTCTTCAAGTCCCTTTGGGGGTCTAGCATGATGTCCCTTCCACCCAAAGCAGGTGGGCAGTAAATCACTTTCCTCAGAGGTAGAGCCTGCCTACAGCAGGTGTGGAAGGCAGTGGCTGCATTTTCAGATCATCTCACTGGTGTCTGGTGATTCAGCAGCTGAAGGACCTGGGGAATTTCAGGAGGTGGAATACACAGCTCTCCCGCCTGTGTCTCCACTTTGGAGTCCAATTTGGATGGAGTTCCCTAGGAGTTTTTTAAAAGCAACTCTACCCCTCCCTCTTTTGTAGAGAAGATAAACAGAAAGGTTAGCAGAAAGGAATGTGAATCAAGGGATAGCCGGGCTGGTGTAGGTCACCTTCTCACCCTAGGCTTTTAAAGCTTCTTTTGAAACAGTCCAGTCATCACCACCCAATGCTGGGTAAAGGAACCTTTGAAGAGCTCTGGTCCTCCCGTGCCTGCTCTAGCCTGACTCCCGGGTTCCCGTGCTTCTTAGAGGTTAGTGATTCCTAATATCCTTTTATCAGGTCTGTTATGGAGTCTTGGCACCCATTTCTTGCTGTGCTTGGTCCCAGTTTCTTTGAGACGAAGCCTTAGTGAACTTTACAAAGTTGTTAGCAGCTCTCTGGGTTACTGCCCATGGAGCTCTTGAGTTAGACAATGGTGTAGTTGGTTATCTGGATTTCCCTTTTGCCGTTTAAATGCCTGATGTACCAAGGAGATTATTCCAGGCATAAAGGTATGCTTAGTCATCTAGTGGTTTCTACTGGGTACATATCTCATTGGTGTAAGCACCAACGTTGTGATGTGACTTTTGCCCTGTGCTAGACCTCTGAGAACAGTGGGGTGGGCCTTTGTTTGTTTGTGGGGGTTTTTGTTGGGTTGTTTGGTTGTTTTTGGTTTTTTTTTAAATCTGGGGTCTGCTTTGGTCATAGCAGTAGTTGGGGGCAGTGCCTATGAGGCTCATTAGTGCTGCTTATAGCAAAAGAACATTAAGTCAAAATTGAAGCCAACAAAGGAGAGCAAGGTAGGAAGTTGCCTACAAAATGTTGTTTGTCTGGAAAAGGTGGAGGACTTTGGGCAAATATTTTAATGATAAAAGTAGTGAAGTGGATGTCTTGAGTTCTGTCCTCAACCCTTTCATTGATTTGTGGCATGCCTTAAAGAAGTTAATATTTCTGCGCTTCTACTTTTGAAAACTTCCTTGAGGTCCTTGATTGAAAGGTAACTAGCACAGGATACTTCTTACCTTGATGGTAAAGCCAGTGTACTGTGGTTTCTTCTCATTCAAGATGATGCCGATGGCACAGGGGATTAGCATTAGGACCAGGGAGGTGATTATTCCTTTGTAAGGCACCTTGCCCTCCAAATCACCCTCGTATAGTCCTCCCGAGTAAAGGTACAGAAGCAGAGGCATTAGTCCAATTGCCAGGATGGTGGAGCATGTGGTCATTACAATGCTGGGATGAAGAAAGGACTCTTCAGTAGAAGAATGACATCTTTTTATGGAATACGCTCATTTTTCTTACTAACCTGGCCACATGGTTTTGCTACAAGACTTTACCTCATTCTTTCCCAACCTGTCACTGAGGTCTTGCCCATCACTATCGCGTTGTATAAGGATGTGATACGAATAGAGAGGGGGGAAGATAATTTAAGTTCTATACCAGCTCAGAAAGGACCCTTGTTATGGGTACAGCTCACACTTCAGAAATTCACAAGTGACAGAGGAAGTAACACTTCACATTTTTCCCCTGGATCTTGTCTTATCACTAGGGTTTGTTGGATTGTGGCATTCTGCTAGTTCAATGTTTCTCTCTGATGCAGCCTCTTCAGACGGTGTGCTGAGTTTACACAACTATATGCTGGTATATGGATAGATGTAGTAGATATACACTATATGTACTGCTATAATGATAATGTTGGTTAAGCTGGCTTCTGAACCAGTCAGATGACTAGATGGGCTGGGCAATGAACACGTACTCAGCTCACCTTACCTGAGGTTCATGTCCCCTCTTAGTGCCAGGCTAAAGATGTTGGAAAGGTTTCCCCCTGGGCAGCAGCCGCAGATGAGGATGGCCAGGGATTCTGTAGCACCCAGCTGGAAGATCTTGCCCAATATGAATGCTGTCAAGGGCATGATGCCATACTGAGCCACTACAGCAATTGACACACCCTTGGGTTTCCTGAGGTGAGTTGTGATTTTGGCTATGTCCATCGTACACCCCAGAGATACCATGATGATGAAGAGGACCACAATAAGTATCACATTCAGGGCTTTGTCTGTGGCCTGCTGGCTGAATGCAAATGGTGGTGCCACACTGGTCAAGAAGGTGCTCTGCATGCGACCTGGGGTCCAAAGCTCTGGGGTCTCAAAAACTCCCTTGGTCTTGTTCATCCTGCTG